TAGCTGGGATTATAGGCATGTGCCACCACACCTGGCTAATTTTTACATTTTTAGTAGAGATGGGGGGTTTCACCATGTTGGCCAGGCTGGTCTGAAACTCGTGACCACAAATGATCTGCCCGCCTAGGCCACCCCAAGTGCTAAGATTACAGGCATGAGCCACTGCGCCCAGCCAATTTTCAATTTTGTAATAGCCACATTTAAAAAAAGTAAAGAAATAGGTGAAATTAATTTTAATAATATCTTAATATCTAAAATGTTATTGTGATAAATATTGTCCTCATAGTCGTTACCTAATAGATGAGGTAATGCACAGAAATGATTCCTTACAGAGCTTGCTGTATATAAAACATGTGTCCTAAATATCACCTGCTTAATATTATCCGTAACTGAATTTTGCACATTTGGAAACTGAGACTCAAAGCCTATGCATAGTGAGTAGCTGGGTGTAAACAAATGCCTGTCCAATCCAGAGCTTGTTGACTTATCTGTTGTGCTGTACCCTTTCTCAGAAGAGTTGAGCAAGTGACCCAGTGTCCAGGGTTCTGCCGTCATTCCAACAAGTATCCAGTGCAGGGCCAACTCAGTTCTCATGGTCTCTAAATGGAGTATGGTGCTAGCCCAGGAGAGAGCATGTCAGCCTAGGGAAGGTACAAGGAAGAATGAGGGGTAGAGAGAGAATGGATTCAGAGAAAAATAACTAGGCTAGGCGTGGTGGCTCACACCTGTAATCCCAGCACTTTAGGAGGCTGAGGTGGGCAGATCACAAGGTCGAGTTTGAGATCAGCCTGGCCAAGATGGTGAAACCCCATCTCTACCAAAAATACAAAAATTAGCCAGGCGTGGTGGCGGGCAGCTGTAGTGCTAGCTACTCAGGAGGCTGAGGCAAGAGAGTTGCTTGAACCCGGGAGGCGGAGGTCGCAGTGAGCTGAGATTGTAGCACTGCACTCCAGCGTGGGCAAGAGAGCGAGACTCCTAAAAAAAAAATTCTGAACTGCATGCATCTGTAATTTATTTAAAAGAAAATTTTATGTATGGAAGATTAATTGATATGATTAGCTTTACAGAGTTTTATGCACTAATTGGTAATACATTGATAGCCCTGAACAGAGAAGATGTGCCAGGTGCAGGTATTTGTTCTGATATAGATTTTCGCCAGTTACACATATAGGGGCACACTCCTAAATTCATAATAGTCTGGCATGTGGCCCAAAGGGTGAAGAACAGCAACCATAGCTAATGCTGAATGACTATGTATTACATGCTAGACATTATTTGAAACACTTAAAGGGTGGTAATTCATAGCATTCTCACAACCTCTTGTGGCAGGTGCTGTTTTTACTCTTATTTTACATAGCAGGTAATGAGAGGCAAGAAGGATGACTTGTTCATAGCAGGACACACAGGAGGAGAACATAGAGTGTTGGGAGTTCAGCCTGGGTGGCTTGGCTGCAGACTTGACTGGCAATGACCATTCTGTTGCTTGAATAGAAAGTAGAATGGGGATTCTTACTTAATTCTTCTAATGTTATCATGATTTGTTGTCTTTGCTATAACAATTGCTTAATATATAATTTCTAGCAGTGCTGTTTGTGGTGATTATCAGATGTGGTCTGTTTCACAGTTAATATTAACATCACATATTAAAACCCATTCAAGAAAGTGTAAATATTGTTTTCTGAAGGTATGCTTACTGCTTAAGAGGGATTTACCATGACCATTTAGATACAGAAAAGTAGATGATTGTGCATTTTCAGACCTGAGGTCTGAACAAGGCTCTTGAGTGGCTTGGAGTTTTATCAAATTAGAAGTTTACTTATTTTATTTATTTATTTTTTTGAGACAGAGTCTCACTCTGTCATCCAGGCTGGAGTGCAGTGGGGCTATCTTGGCTCACTGCAATCTCCGCCTCCTGAGTTCAAACGATTCTCCTGCCTCAGCCACCCAAGTAGCTGGGACTATATGCGCCTGCCACCATGCCTGACTAATTTTTGTGTTTTTAGTAGAGACAGGGTTTTATCATATTGGCCAGGCTGGTCTCGAACTTCTGACCTTGTGATCCACCCACTTTGGCCTCCCAAAATGCTGGGATTACAGGCATGAGCCACTGTGCCCGGCCAGAAGTTTACCTAATTTTAAGGCAGGGGCTTGCCTTAGGTTGGTGGAGTTAAGACATATGTGATGTAAAGGTTTAACCAAGATCTAGAAAGCCTTTTTGAATTCTGAGATTCTGGACTTTTTCCTGTATCTTAAAATATTGCTTTAGGCTGGGCGTGGTGGCTCAGATTTGTAATCCTAGCACTTTGAGAGGCCAAGGTGGGTAGATCACCTGAAGTCAGGAGTTCAAGACCAGCCTGGCCAACATGGAGAAACCCTGTCTCTACTAAAAATGCAAGAAAATTAGCCAGGCGTGGTGACATGCACCTGTAATCCCAGCTACTCTGGAGGCTGAGGCAGGAGGATGGCTTGAACCTGGGAGGTAGAGGTTAAAGTGAGCTGAGATCGCACCACTGCACTCCAGCCTGGGTGACAGAGCGAGACTCTATCTCAAACAAACAAATAAACAAAAACTGCTCTAAGTTATATAAGAGTACTTTTTAAAAGACTATATATAACTCTAACTCTTCTTTTAGAAATATAACTGTTTTTTTTTTTTTGTAGTTCCATTAAACTTAAAAACAATTCACAAATCCAGAAATAACTCTGTGCTAATATATATTACATCCAGTTTACTTAGAATGGTGTGTTTTTAAAAATGATTAGCCGGTATAATTTTAGAGTAGGAAGAAAATCTTACTAAATAGCTTTCCATTTGAGTGCTGCCAGTTTATGTGGAAATCAAGGCCTGCAGAGATTGATTTGCTGGAAGTTAAATAGGTCATTATTGGCAAAGCTGGACTTGGATTTAGGTCTCTAGATAAAAACAGGATACACAACTTCTCTACTATTTGGTCTCAGCTGCTTCAAAATTTGGTGGTTATTCAAACTTAACATTGTATTCAAATGGTGTAATCTGCTTAGTCTGGGCATTTTTGGATATAAGCACAATTGGTACCTATTCTGAGTTACTGAAAATATGCCCTGACCCGACAGAGTTGGCAGATAACTTATCCTTACTTAGTGTCAGACTTTCCTTTGAAAACAACTTATGACACTTAGAATTTCCCAGAATTTAGAAAATAAATTGAAAAGTAATTTTGATCAAAGTTTTTTTTTTTTTTTTGGAGATGGAGTCTCACTCTGTTGCCAGGCTAGAATGCAGTGGCGCCATCTCGGCTCACTGCAACCCCTGCCTCCTGGGTTCAAGCAATTCTCCTGCCTCAGCCTCCCAAGTAGCTGGGATCACAGGCGTGCACCACCATACCCAGCTAATTTTTGTATTTTTAGTAGAGACAACGTTTTGCCATGTTGACTAGGCTGGTCTTAAACTCCTGACCTCGTGATCTACCCACCTTGGCTTCGCAAAGTGGTGGGATTGCAAGTGTGAGCCACTGCGCCTGGCCTTGACCAAAGTTTTTTAGTGTCCAAAATATTTGAAGATTTTCTTTTGGCTAGAGAATTTATAAATACCTCCAGTGTGAATACATTAACCTAGTCTACTGATGCTTTAACAAAGTAATTATAGACCCTGATCATATCAGATGAATTTAGTAGTTCCCTGGTTGTAAATGAACATACTATTTATAGTATTTAATATTACTCTAAGAAGTAATGTTTATTAGGATTATTTTCAAGGTTTATGTTGGAAAAACCTGGTGTCTTTTGCTCCCAAAGTAAGAGTAACAATTTCTAATATGTTTTTTCTCACTTCAGACTTTTGATAAAATTCTTGTTGCCAATAGAGGAGAAATTGCATGTCGGGTGAGTAGAATTTTCATTTTATTTTTCATTTTACTCTATGAAATTATTTATTATTGAATCCCTTTAAATGTGAGTCACTATTAATAGACATTAATGTATTTTAAAATAGGTTATTAAAACTTGCAAGAAGATGGGCATTAAGACAGTTGCCATCCACAGCGATGTTGATGCTACTTCTGTGAGTATTTTTTGCTTTGTTTAAATCGGGACTTAATTTGAGGTCAAGTAGAAAAAAATGAAAGACAACAGGCCTTTTTTCTTGGCCTGCAAAAGATATATTCAATTTTAAAAACTGTTTAATTGTTCACTGTTGTGTTAAGCAAAATGACAGTATCACAATATCTTCTATATGTGCCTTCAGTATTTTCTTTTCAAAGCTTTAAAAACTTACGTGGAAAAATTGCCAGCTGATTGCTGGTCACCGAGTAGATTTAAGCAAAGCATGAGAAAGTTCGAGTCAAAGATTAATGAAATGTTTACACAGTGTTCCCTTATGAGAGCACTTTCCCCCAGCATAACTCCGGTATCACTAAGGGAATGCGATAATTGTTTAACCTTTCCTAAATGCTTCAACATGTTCAGTTGAAAGTTTCATAAATGAAAGATAGTCTAATGCTAATTGGATATGAACAAAAGAAGGTATAGCATAAAGGAGACATACTTTTATTTGGTACTTTTAACACAGCAGGGGTTTTTGTTTTTGTTTTTGTTTTTGAGATAGAGTCTTGCCCTGTTTCCTAGACTGCAGTGCAGTGGTGCAATCTTGGGTCACTACAACCTCTGCCTTCCAGGTTCAAGCCATTCTCCCACCTCAGCCTCCCAAGTAGCTGGCATTACAGGCACCTGCCGTCATGTCTGGCTAATTTTTGTATTTTTGTAAGGACGGGGTTTCACCATGTTGGCCTGGTTGGTGTTGAACTTCTGACCTCGTGATTCATTTGCCTTGGCCTCCCAAAGTGCTGGGATTACAGGCGTGAGCCACTGTGCCTGGCCCATGGCAGGCATTTCTTTAGTAGTAATGAATTATGAATGAATAGAAAAAAAATCCCAATGGAAAAGCATGTAAATTATTAGAATTTTATGGCATGAACTATAAGTAGTTGAATGCTAACGCAAGCATTGTTTCTCATTTTCTCACACTACTTTTGATAATGGGATTCTTTGGTAGGGTCCATTGCTTAATGACAGGGATATGCATCATTAGGTGAGTTCAATCATATGTGAACATTACAGAATGTACTTACACAAACCTTGATGATATAGCCTTGTATACATCAAAATGGTGTAGCCTCTTCCTCCTGTGCTGCAAACCTGTACAGCATGTGACTGTACTAAGTACTGTAGGCAGTTGTAACACAATGCTAAGTATTTGCGTATATAAGCATATCTAAACACAGAAAAGGTACAGCAAAAATATAGTATAAAAGATAAAAAATGGTACACTTGTATAGGGCACTTACTGTGAATGGAGCTTGCAGGACTGGAAATTGCTCTGGGTGAGTCAGGGAGTGAGTGAAGGCCTACGACATTACTGTCACTACTGTGGACTTCATAAACACTGTACACTTAGGCTACACTTAATTTTTAGAAAAATATTTTTTCTTCAATAATAAATTGACCTTAGCATGTCATAACTTTTTTAACATTATAAACTTTTTAAATTTTGTCTTAACTCTTTGACTCTTTCATAATAAAACAGCATAAAAAGCAAACATTGTACAAGTGTACAAAATTTTTTTTTTATATCCTTATTCTATAAGCTTTTTTCTGTTTTTAAAGTTTTTTATTTTTCATTTATTTTTTACTTTTTACATTTTTTTTTTTTTTGGTTAGAAACGAAGACACAAATGCACACATTAGCTTAGACCTGCACAGGGTCAGGCTCATGGAGACATCAGTAGGCATGGGATCACATCAACTTAGAAAGATGCTACATAGCCAGGGAAACAATCAACAAAGGGAAGAGACGACCCACAGAATGAGAGAATATATTTACAAACTGTCCATCTGATGAGGGATTAATAACCAGAATGTATAAGGAACTAAACAACTCTGTAGGAAAAAAAAATCTATTGATTCGATTAAAAAATGGGCAGAAAGGCCAGGTGTCGTGGTTCATGCCTGTAATCCCAGCACTTTGGAAGGTTGAGCAGGCAGATCACTTTAGGTCAAGAGTTCAAGACCTAGAATAAATAAATGCATGTTTAACCAGCCTGGCCAATATGGTGAAACTGAGTCTCTACTAAAAATACAAAAATTAGCCAGGTGTGGTGGCACGCATCTGTAGTCCCAGCTACTTGGAGCCTGAGGCAAAACCTTGAACCCAGGAGGCGGAGGTTGCAGTGAGCCGAGATCACGTCATTGCACTCTAGCCTGGGCAAACGGGTGAGACCGACATCCAAAAAAAAAAAGGGCAAAATATCCGAATAGACATTTTTCAAAAGAAGACATACAAATCACAAACAGGTGCATGTAAAGGTGCTCGACATGATTGATCATTACAGAAATGCAAATCAAAAACTACAATGAGTTATCATCTTATTCCACTTAAATTGGCTTTTATCCAAAAGACATAATGAGTACTGTTGAGGATCTGGAGAAAGAAGAATCCTCATACACTGTTGGTGGGAATGTAAATTAATACAACCACTATAAAGAACAGTATTGAGGTTCCTCAAAAAACTAAAGGTAAAACTATCATGTCATCCGGCTGCTAGGTGTACACAGGACGGGGAACATCACACACCTAGCAGCCGGTAAATCAGTATATGGAGGAGATACCTGCACATCCATGTTTATTGTAGCATTTTTCACAATAGCCAAAATTGGGAGGCAGCTTAAGTGTCCATCAACAGATGAATGGATAAAGAAAATGTGGTACATATATACAGTACCATTCAGCCATAAAAAAGAATGCAGTCTTGTCATTTGCAATGCATGGATGGAACTGGTAGAGGACATTATGTTTTTTTTTTTTTTTTAAATATTATCTGATTTTTATTTTTTGTGAGATTGTGCATTTTATTATTTTTTATTATACTTTAAGTTCTGGGGTATATGTGCAGATCATGCAGGATTGTTACATAGGTATACACATGCCATGGTGGTTTCCTGCATCTATCCCCCCCACCATCATCTGCATTAGGTATTTCTTCTAATGTTATCCCTTGCCAATCCCCCAATTCCCTGCTGTCCCTCCCTTAGCCTCCCACCCTCCAACAGGCCCTGGTGTGTGATGTTCCCTGCCCTGTGTCCATGTGTTCTCATTGTTCAACACCCACTTATGAGTGAGAACATACAGTGTTTGGTTTTCTGTTCTTGTGTCAGTTTGCTGAGAATGGTGGTTTCCAGCTTCATCCATATTCCTGCAAAGGACATGAACTCATCCTTTTTTATGGCTGCATAGTATTTCATGGTGTATATGTGCCACATTTGCTTTATCCAGTCTATCATTGATGGGCATTTGGGTTGGTTCCAAGTCTTTGCTATTGTAGACAGTGCCGCAGTGAACATACGTGTGCATGTGTCTTTATAATAGAACGATTTATAATCCTTTGGATATATACTCAGTAATGGGATTGCTGGGTCAATTGATATTTCTATTTCTATATCCTTGAGGAATCGCTACACTGTTTTCCACAGTGGTTGGACTATTTACACTCCCACCAGCAGTGTAAAAGAGTTCCTATTTCTCCACATCCTTTCCAGCATCTCTCGTCGTGGAGGACATTGTGTTAAGTGAAATAAGCCAGGCACAGAAAGACAGGTTTTGTATGTACTCACTCATTTGTGGGAGCTAAAAATGAAAACAATCGGACTCATAGAGATAGAGAGTATAAGGATGGTTACCAGCAGCTAGGAAAGGTATATGGAGCGGAGGGGTAGGGATGATTAATGGGGACAAGAATATAGTTAGATAGAATAAGTAAGATCTAGTATTTGATAGCATAATTAGGTGACTACAGTCTACAATAATTTGTGGTACATTTTAGAATAATTGAAGGAGCACAACTGGGATGCTTGTAACACAAATAAATGAATGATTGAAGATGATGGATACCCCATTTACCGTGATGTGATTATTACACATTGTATGCATGTATCAAAATATTTCATGTACTCCATAAATGTTTACACTTACTGTATACCCATAAAAATAAAGATATCACTAGACAAATAGGAAATTTTCAGCTCCATTATAATTTTCTGTCTTACATGCAGTACATTGCTGACCACAATGTTGTCATATGGCACATGACTATATTCTGATCTAGAGGTAGACTTTGCAGACTTTACAAAAGTGGTTTCAAAAGAATTCTGAAGCAGATGTGGTAGTTTTACATTTTAGAGACTTTTCACCACTTCTGGCTGAAAGTAGTAGTGAATATACTAGAGATTATAATACATAATTTAGAATAAAATTTGCCAGACCCCACAATGCATACTCAGTCAAAACTTTCTCTTAGTATGACCTACTTTAAGTGAATTTCTAGAAAGATACTATAAATAAAAGCAGGATAATGGTGGTTGGAATGTTAAAAGTTTCCTTGAAATCTCAATAGTAGGGTCAGATCTGCTATGTGGTTTCTGTTTTAGTCTCAAGGAAGGCTGAAAAGGTGAATTTCTGTAACAGCATTTTTTCCTTCCTCAGCATATGATCACAGAGGCTCCTATCATGGCTAATCAGCTTTACAATATCAGTAATATGAACAAGCCATGCTGTTCGGTTGTATTAATGTTTGAATGTTTGTTTTCAAGAGGTGAGCATTCAAAATGTAGCTTGGAGCAAAAAGCCTTATAGGCTTTCTGTGTTAGTTCCATATGTGGAAATATAAGTACTGTTGCAGAAGGAAAATACTGCAACGATTGTGAAAGCTATTCGTT